AAGTGGGACATGTAAAGAATGATTTTACCTTAGCGCCTTCAAAGGGTGGTGACCCTGCTTTGATTTCAGACTTCTTGCCTCCAGAACTGTGAGAAAATAAATTTCTGTTGTTATAAGCCATTAGTTTGTGCTAGTTATGGCATCTTTAGGAATCAAACATCTACTTTCATCTCATGTTCCCACGTTAGTGTATTCAATGTACATCTTTCTAATTCATTGTTCATATGTTTTACTTAGATATGTAAAATTATGTAGATATATAAAATTCCTTAAAAAATGTATAAACTCATTAACAATGGAAGGAATTTTATTTTATTTTATTTTACTTTTTTTATCAGGCTGACCCTTTGTCTCTTGTCACAATCTAAGACTATACTGCACTAGTCATAGCTACTACACTATAAAGTACTTCAAGAAGTATGACTATCCACTGCAAGAAAATGGGACATCTTTTCTGGTGTGCTGCTTCTTTGTTTTTAATATTTATTTATTTATTTATTTTTATACATAGCCAGGGCACAGGCCAGATGCGCAGGAGGGTGAGAGGATCTACCAGAATCAGAGCGGGGAACAGAACAGGCAGACTGACAAATACACTGCTGAGGGGAGCAGCGGGCGAGACAGGAGAGGTCTGCTTTGCCATGTGGGATTCTCGCTGGCCAGCTGGGATCAAATTCGTGCTGCAGAGGCTGCAGACAGCTTTACAGTGTGGCACTAAACTGCCTGCCCCACCAGGGAGGCCCTCTGGTGTGCTGCTTCTAATGCATGGGGAAACCCTTCCCAGATGTCCCTAGCAGACTTCTCTTGGCCACTAATATGTCACATACCCAGTCTCTGAACGATCACTAACAAGGGAATAGGATCACCATGCTACATTTGGATGTGTTAAATTACCTCTGAGAAGGTGGGGTCACCTTTCTAGATACATTACGAAGTAAAGGAAGATGAATATTACAAATATAATCATGACATGGTCAGCAAAGGAGAGTTGAGTAAAGGGATTTTGGATTGACAGCTGTTACTATACATTCTACTAGACATTTAAGATCTTGTGCATTTTAGCTTGATAATAAAGTAAGTAAGATAATACTATGACCCTAAATGCTTCCAGCTTCTACCCAGTGAGGATGCCAGATAGTATTCCATGTTGCGATGGTTTAAGATATCAATAAGTAGGACACTCTGAAGAGTATAACTGGTCCAGAGAAGTAGGTTGATTTCCCTCAGGTGGAAATGGGTTGTATTTGATGTATTTAAAACATCTAACCTAATTTACTAGGATTAGAGCTTTCATGTTTTGATTTTCTTGCCAGCAAAGAATTATAAGAGGAGCTGCATGCTTAATGAATTGGGAGAGAATGTAACTTTTAAGAAGGGCTGAGGGAGCATGAAGTGATAAAGTTTCAAAGAAACTTATAGATGGATGTGCAACATATATATATTGAATTCATCTGTCATTGGGTTACTTGTCTGTCTTTGAGAGATGTGGGAATCAGTTTCTGTTTTCCTATTTCAGGTAATGTGAAGTCCACAGTGAAATGAACTAAATTCTGGTGTTTACAGATGATAGCGTCACACTGGTGAATTAGTAAGTTGTAATGAAATAGAAAATTATGATTTTTGAGTATTTTTTCTTTTGAATATAACTTAATTGCAAGCTTATATAAATTCATTTTTAATATTGTATATTTAACTGACTCACAAACTTCCTAAAAATATATGAGCTGATATGATCTAGCTCCAGCACACTACTTAATACATTGTATGTGTGTGTATCTCCACCACATCCTAGAGTCTGTAAATTTGACCCTAATTTTAAGAAGGGACTTTGCAAATTTTAAGTAAGGATCTTGAGCTGAGACTATTCTGGGTTATCCAGATGGGCTCTAAATACAATAAATATAATTAATAAATGACACCCAGAAGTGAGACACATACAGGAAAAGGTTATGTGAAGATGAGAGTGAAGAGCGAGGTTATGCTGCTCAAACCATGGAATATCTGGAACACCAGAAGTGGGAAGACTGGGTAATGTTTTTCCCTAGAACCTTGAGCAGGAGCATGGTGCAGCTGACACTTTGATTCGGAGCTTTTGGAATCTAGAATTGAGGAAAAATTGTGTTGTTCAAGCCATGCTGTGTGGTACTGCAGTCCTAGGAAACTAATACAAGGCTGAATAACAAAACAAAAGACTCTGGATTTCTTTGAAACACCCAACTCTACTGTGGGATATCTCCTACGGACTGGCTACAGCTTGTCAACTGGAAAAGGGAACATGGAAATTCAGAGAGTTATGCAGTTTTGTCTGCAGTGGTGAAAAGTGTAGATGTAGTCAGTGCCACCACTTGCCTGACTTTGGGGGAGCTGCAGCAACTTGGAGGGCAGTGACCACAACAACAATAGGAGGAACAGACCCACTGAAGGCAGGAGACAGTATAAGACAAGAGCACTAGTGAGCCAGCCCCTGGCTGGACTGTCTATCTGACCTGCTCTTCCTTTGACACCCAGATCCACACAGCAAGGAGGAGGGCTGGGTTCCTGAAAGTTAATAATTTATCCAACACCCTTAGCAACAAAATATTAAAGTTTGTAGAACCTAAAAATACTGGAGGGTTCAAAGGGATATTTTGATCATAAATATTTTATTTAGTGGTGAATAGAAATCACAGGGCTACATTTTCCATATTTCTGTGGGAATAAAGTTTTGCTCCCAATTCTTTTAATTACTGTTGTCTCTATAGACAGAAACTGTGTATTGGTAGAGGTACTCTGAAGACAGTTTGCAAGGCAAAAAGCTGAAAACATTTCTTTTTTAAAGAATGATGTGATATTCTTTTTTTTAAGATTTATTTGTTTATGCATACAAGAGCTGGGGTACAGGCCAGAGATGTGGTGGGTGAGAGGATTCACCAGAGACAGAGTGGGGAACAGAACAGGTAGACTGAAACACACTGCTGAGGGGAGCAGTGGGCAAGACAGGAGAGGTCTGCCTTGCCTTGTGGGTAGCTTCCTGGCTGGCAGGGATCAAACTCATATTGCAGAGGCTGCGGATAGCTTCGTAGTGCTGTGCTTAACTCCTTGCACCACCAGGGAGGCCCTGCAAACATTTTTGACAGTAATATTGTGCCACTTTGGGTCATAAGTGGCAGTCAAGGAGATATCAGTGGATGACAAATGGTGGAAATTTCAAATTGTGGTGGGAATGGGCAATTCAACAGACTACATAAAATTGGCATTGTTCCAGAAAACCCAGATGGTAGAGATAAGCCATTAGCAACTCTTATTTTCTTAGCTTTGGATAACTTAGCTAGAAAAAAATCAACAATGCATTTGTTTTCAGCAAAATATAATTCTAGTTAAAAGGGGTGCTATTAATTAAATCTTTAATTAATGATATTCAGGGCATGTTTCCAAATAAGCACCTGACTTTAGATCATGCACTTACTATTCATGTGTTATGGATTCAGAGCATGGTGAAGCTTGATGAGGTTTTGGGAACTATATGATTGAGTCCCCTCATCTTGCAGATGCATAAATTGAGTAGGAAAAGTTGTATTATCTTCCATGAGTTGCCCTAGGAATGGATATCAGAGACTGGAATAGCACCTGGATTGTTGAATTCCAATCTGCTGTCCTTTTCACCCTACACCTCTGCAAGGATTCTTATCTAAACACTGACTTCTCTTTGCAGACAAAATTATCCTTGGCCACTTTTTTTTTTGTGGCTCCTGGCTGCTTATCCTTGACTTTTCCCAGCTGCTTATCAGAGGCAAGCTTCGTTAACACAGAGTCAGTTCTACTTGAAAGACTAGGCTGGCAGTGTGCAAAATTCCTCAAAGTTCTCAGACATCATGAGCTTGGAGAATCTCCAATTCAAAAATCATTCCCTTTAATTAAAAACTTTTATTTCCTTATAATCATTTATCACAGACTTAGTTCAAACACTTTTTGACAAACAACAACAACAAAAAACTGAAGATTTTAAATGAAAGCCCACAGGTTTTTCTTGTACATAATTAATGAACATGATCTATGACTTTTCAGGTACATTGTTGGAGAAAGCATGGCATTACATGGGGAATATCAGATTTTAGAAATAAGAACATAGTCAAATCCAATATTGACCACTCTCTCTGAACTGTGTCCTATAGTTGTGTCAATAATATGGGAAGCCTTTCTCCCTATAGCAGAATAACCTGATGTAGTTATTAACTGCTGGTTTTCTGTGGGTTCATCAAGATAAAGTAAGAAAGAAGGACTAGAAAGAGCATTATAGGCAGGAAAAAAAAATAACCCTCACACAGTGGTTTTTTTTTTTTTTCTTCTGTGAAATTTGAATCACCTGAGGAAATAATTTCTGCTTCCTTGAAGTATCATAAAGGTCCTTTCCCATCCAATGATTTATATAAGATTTTCACTCACTAGCTTGGGAGCCTGTGGGTGGGCTAGCTGCCTTTCACTGATATTCTTACTCGCAGCCATTGCTGAAGGTGGGAGGATGATCTTCAAGGTGACAATGGTCCTATTCCAATTGCCTTTGGAATCTTCTGTTTCCTTCTTTGGGAATTCATCACATTCTTCAAAACTCTGAGTGAGGCAGGTATAGTGACTGTATGTCCCAGTGACTTCTCCAGGAATGTAGAATTCAAACTAAAACAGGTTACCAGGAATTGATTCCTGGTCAAGATTCAGCACAAACCTACTAGACAACTACAATTCCAAAGGGTGTTTGTGAGAGCCTACCTTATACCATCAGTAGAAACTCAAACCTTCCACCAAGCACACTTGTCCCTTCTGACATAATTCACTTAGCATAACCCCCTCTACTTCTATAAATGTTGTTCCAAAGGCAAGATTTCATCTCTTTTTACAGCTATGTATGTGTGTGTATTTGTGTATGTGTGTTTATATATATATATATATATATATATATATAAGTAGACTTTTTTATATATACATCTTTTTTTTTTTAATCCACTCATCTGTTGTTGGGTACTTAAAGAAATATGGAACACTTCACAAATTTGTGTCATACTTGCAAAAGGTCCTTGCCAATTTCCTCTGTGTTGTTACAATTTTAGTGTATGTGATGCCAAAGAAGTCAACAATGCAATTTTAAAACTATTTTAGCCTTGTCCTTTAGAGGTCAAATAGTATCTGTAGGGACCCATTATCTTTCACTGCAGTGAGCCTTCAATAAGAATGTTGATTTTCAAACATTTTCAGGTACCTTTTGCATCCTTCCTACATCGTTCCTTCTGTCATGTGAAGAGTTCTGTATCTTTCTGCTGTGAGCAGAAAGTAAGGAGAGAGGAAAGCAATATTTCTGGATCATCATCTAGACATCTTACTCCAAGAACAATATTCTCTATTGTTGGGACATATTGGATATGATTGGGGCGATGGGTCCAGAACACCTTAATAACACTTGGATTCTTCTTTAAGCTATATGGGATTTTTGTTGTGTTTCTGTCGTCAGGTATCTGTTCCTGTGAGCTCATGGTTAGGGCATTAGGCACTGAATTCCAGAGAAGCAACTACATTATCCCGGTCTTACTGAAATTTCTTTTTAAATTTAACTGTGTCCTTCTTCCAGAGGCCAGAGAAATTTGTACTTTTCCTTTCTCTATGACAGGAACTGTGCCTCCACCAAGTTCTCCCTATTCTATGGAGTAAAACTGAGTGCTCAGACTTGCAAGCTTTGCTCTTGATATGTAAAAGTAAGACTCTGGGACTTAGGAAAGCATTTTGTTTCTAAACAAAGCCCGAGCTTTCATGACTATTATTATGCTATGGACTCAAGAAAATATTTTTTTTTTGAAGTTTAAAGCTGAACAATGATTTCTTTATTCTCGGCAGCATCTGACTTCCCTCAGAAATGAAAAGCCATTAAATCAGAAGCCAGAGGCAACATGATTTATGGGATGGAAGAATCATTGTTTTAAACATCTGAAAATAGAATGCTCTTTCTGAGAGCAAGGATTGTTTCATTTCTGAATGTGTAGTGCCTAGCTCAGCGTCTGCTACACAGTAGGTACTCAAAGTTTCTTGGATGAAATGATAGTCGCATTAGCTTTACTCAGATCACAATTTAAAACACACATATTGATAGCTCATTCTGTGTGAAATCAATGAGGGGATGCCTGTGAATTAGTGAAGCATGTGTATGTTGAACCCCACATTTATTTAACCCCCCCCATCTAATCTCTTGATATACACTGCTGCCACCTCACTCAGAACATGATTCTTCATGTGTAGCATTTGGATAAGGAAAAACTATCCCCTGGAAGCTTGTAATAAATGTGAAATTTTATGCTCTGTCCTAGACTGGCTGAATCAAACCCAGGAACTGAACTTTGGCAAGTTATGTTTACACAAATGCTCCAGGTAATATTGTGTTTCCTAAATTCAAGAGCCACTTCCTTAACACCTATCTCTAGCTCAGCCTCCCTCAGAGATGTGGTCAGGATTTATTATAGCCTCCATTGAGCTCACTTGATAGGGGCCTCAGTTTCTCCTATTACCAGATTCTGTTGAACCAGATACTGAGATGTTCTGGATTCCCAGAAAGACCAGGTAACAAACTCAAATTTGCTCAGGAAGTTAATGTGTTGAACAGCTATTATAAGGTGATAATGAGTTTCCAGGTGAAAACCCAGGCTAGGGAGCTTGATCGTCTTGTGCTTGGTACTGAGATGAATTTAAGACTCTGAGAGTGACGGTGTGGATTAAGACCACATCAAAGTTCAGACCTCAGCAGTGCATCATTCTCTAGTGGGGACTGTTTATTTGGTCTCCGGTACCTAATGACCAAATAAACAGGTACATCTTTTTTTTGTTAAGTCGATGATATTTGAAATATATAATTAACATCTTAAATCAAGACTTCTGAGGACAGAAGATTACTTTGAATACTCAAAAAACTACGTAGAAATATATGAAGTTCACCTAGCAGTTCAAATAAATACAATTATAAATTATAGATAACAAATTATGCCAACATATAGTAAGTTTCTGATTGTTAAATTTTTGGTATATTTTCAATGAAGAATTAATGAAAACCTCAGGGAAATATCTCTGCCCTGCTGCTATTTTTTTTCTTGTTTTTGTTTTTAGTCATTCAGCGAGTCTCTTCTAAGTCCCATCTGTTCCAAGCCCCAAGTTGTCTGTGTTTGAATGCTTGCCTTCCTCATCCTAATTACAGGGACATTTCAGTTCTTTGTCTGTAGTGTTCAAAGTTCATGTCAAAAATACAAAAGCTTCATCAACTGTGTGTGCATAGCTTTCTCCACTGTAATACCTACTGTAAATCTCTGTTTGGTTCTAGAAACTAGGGAAGCTTATTTTTCTAATATTTGCAATCTGTTCCTTTGAGGACTTTTCTTTTTGAAAATCTCTGAATACTTGCATCTCTGAAATTTGTTCTCCTGTGTTGAAAACAGTGGATTTTCTTTTGATGTGAAAACATTTTCTAATCTGATACAGTTACGATAGGGGTTCTTTCTGTCTGCTGCATAGAATTCACTTCTTGGTAATTCTTATGTGCTTTTGTCACTTCATGTAGTCATAACAAGTCTTTGATTTAACTCTTTTTATTAGGACTATGTAAATTCACCAAAGGAGTACTCCCATCAGTAAACATATAGTCTAGGGGGAATATATCTGCTAAAAATAGGATTGTAAAGAGGATCATTGGTCTTTAGAGAGAGAAAATAGTAGGTTGAGTAGAAAGCTCAGAAGTCAATATATATTTGCTAGGAAGATCAAGGTTCATGTTGAGATTAAATGATGTAATATAATGGACTCTGTGTTCATGATTTAATTAGCTCTTTCAGTTAAGACTATGACCCCAAGGAACTGAGATAAAAAAGACAGTACAAGGTCACATGGCCTGGTGGAAGATGTAGAGACCTACTGAAGGTTACAGTGATCGAGCTGGTGCTTGCAGAGCTCCCTCGAGAGTACCTTGTTATTAAATATACGCTATGCAATGGAAGCATCTGGGGTGGGGGAGGGGTGGGCAGGGGCCATAACGGAGAGATGGAAGCACAATGAACTATGGGTGAGATTTAACAGTAGGTGACTACAGTGGTGATGCTTGATGGAGGTGTCCTAATGTTACCTCAATTAAAACAATAAATTTATAAGAAAATAAATAAAAGATTAAGAAGTAGTGAAGTCGGTATTGATAGCTTTCTAGACAGGTCTTCGTAGGTACACTTTTCATCTTTGTTCCCTCACACATACATGCCTCAAATTCAACAGAAAACATGGCACTATCATATGTTTGAATACAATGAAATCCCGAATGTAAGAAATTCACTCTTTTCCCAGTGTGAAGATTAAAGGAAATGACAATAAAATTTGCACAGGTTTAGTTCATCAACAGATGTTTATTGAACATTTGCTGAGAATAATTCCAAGGATTTCTAGGTACTGTAAACAGTATGTTCCAAGCCTGAATTTCCTGTTTTTCATGCTTCTCAGCATTGGCAAGAGCGCTTTCTGTCAAATTTTAAAGGATGTTTAAGCTATGTAAGGTGCATGTCCATCACAATGATAGGTTGTCCTAGACTCAGCACCAAAGCTAAAGTATGAATGACACTTTTTTGCCAGCCATCAATATGATGGTTTATCTATCAGAGTTTGACTGTGATGGAATTAGTCTTCCAACTGATATTCTTTTTTAAAAAAGATTTATTTTATTTATGCGTACAAGAGTTGGGGTGTAGGCCAGAGTTGCAGATATGTGTGTGTGTATATGTATGTGTGTATGAGATAATTCACCAGAGACAGAGTGGGGAGCAGAACAGTTGGATTTACTGACATATACTGATGAGGGGAGCAGCAGGCGAGACAGGAGAGGTCTGCCATGTCCTGTGGATCAGCTCCCTGGCCAGGGATCGAACTTTTGCTGCAGTAGCTGCTGATAGCATCATAGTACTAAGACTTAACCCCTTGTGCCACTGGGAAGCCCCCAAATGATATTCTTTTTGACAGGTGTCTTTGCATGAATAACACACTGATGTTGGAAAATCCCGTGATCAACACTGTCAAAATCAAACATCACTATTATATATCTATGACTTGGAATGTTCTAAAGATGATTAATTTGGAAAGAGGATGAGAACACTGTTTTTTAAAATGTATACTTTCTATTTTCATCTCAATGTACAGGGAATTATAAATGCCCATTGTCAAAATATTTCATGTTGCTGTGATGTTATTACATCTTGCCCTTCTACCATAAATATTTTATGTATATTTTCTTTCATCATTATATACTCCTTCATGCACAAAGTATACAGTTTTATATTTCATAGAACTATTAATGGTTCATTTTTAGAATTATGTAGATTTAGGTGCATAATGCAGAGTAAAAGTAACAATTTTTTTCTTTAAGTCATCAAACTAGTACTTTTTTTATGATTTCTCCTTGTTAGGATAAATTCATTTGAACTGATAATCTATTTGCAAGGCTTCTGGTAAAAGTAAAATTATAAGCCAAATGGTTCATGCAAATTAGACTTATTTTTTGCATCTTTTGAATTATGCTAGAAATAATCTTATTCTTTCATAGTCTTTTATTGTAGAGTCAAAATTAATGGCCATAATTCAATAAGGCTAATGAAAAATTTATTTGGTCAGACCTATTGCCAAAACTATGAAGGACAGATCTGAATCAAATGCACTTAGAAACTTTCTGCCGGCATTTGCCAAAGTGAAAATAATGCATTTCAAAGCAATTCAATAGCATTGAGGTGAACAGAGAGTTATGGTGTATCAGGGTCCTTCACAGAAAGGATGTTTGGAACTAAATACTAGTTAGTACAGAGAATATACTAGAAGATTTGCTTGTGTAAAAGTAATGACCTGAAAAGCTGACTGTGTGCTGAGAATGAATCCTTTTAATCTCAGCAACAAAAGCTCTATGGAGACACTGCCCATAGTGACTGTAAGCAGAACATTCTTCTTTGCCACCTCCTCTGTGAAACTTCTTCCTTGTTCTCCAGCTTGCAGTTGTCCTATTGCCAGTGGTGGCCTCTGTGTGATGCTTGGGGTGTTCAATCTGAGGTCATAGTTTTGACTACTGATGATCTAGGGC